TACAGTCATCACAGTAAATAGCTTGTTACTACTCTGTTCCTCCGCAAACAGGCTGCACATAGATGTCGAAGGTATCTTGAAAAAGACCCCAAGGATCTTTGTTTTTCCTAGTAGAAAAATACGATGTTGAATACGACATGTCTGAACGAAATCTGACTTTCGGAACGAATTCTATCGGTTCTCAAGCATTTTCTTTGACACATATATAGCGATTCTCGAACGCTGGTACAGCTTAACCTGTATTGTGAATTTAATATTCTTGTAATAGCTTCACATATCTTCAGATAGCTCACTTTAAGAGCCATGTCTGTAGTCATGACAATTATTATTAGCGCAAAATTTCTGTCATCTCACACTTCTAAACGTATTTAACCGTTCATTGAGGGTTTTTAAAAATGTATTTCATATCGTTTTTGGTAAAAAGAAAAAAAAAAGTGGCTACATTACTCAATAGGTGCAAGAGTTGTTTCGAAAAAATTGGACCCTTTCATAAGACTTCATGGGCGCACAGCTTTTCTCCATTTTGATAATTTTGCCTGTAATTGTCGAGCGGACATTTTCTGTAGGAATACAGAAAAGTATTTTTATGAGGGCAAGATAAGTGCCTTTGTAGATATAAAACTATATTAATGATTTTGATTGAATCTAAATGTTTTGCAGCAAGCAGTATACCTTTCCTGTAAATCCCATCGATACAAAAGTAAGTGGAGCTCGTTTTACTTTATTAGTGTTTCCATTTAATTAGACGCATTTAGTACTATGTTAACTTTATTAATGACGGAACACATTATTTAAGTTCAACAATTTCTTTATTATTTTGTCATATTTACATGAAGAAAACAACCTGGTGTATGTCGCAGCCAGAAGTCAAATGTACCCAAGTGCCGAAAGCGCCCCGCTGCCCAACAATCTTCTTCACAATCTGGTTTTGACTTCTATATCTATAGGCAACAGAAAACCAAGCGCTCCTATTTCTGTCGGATCTTATCATCATTATTATTATTAAGGTTGACGTAACTGTGGCCACAGCAATACCGTGTCCTGTCTACTCCCCAATTCCTACCCATAACTAAAGCAACTGCCCTTTTGACGACGGTTTTTGATCGCCTAATTGCCCTGCTGCTGCTAATAATATATAACACCTTTATTATTTATAGCTATCAACACTATCATCACCGTCGGCTTGTAATCAGCATTGTATATGTTCACTTAAAAAGAGTAGCATTTTTTGTTTTATGTTCTACTGAAGAAAGAGGCGGGCGGCGGGCTTCCGAGACTAGCGGTCGTATACGCTCTCAGAGCGGCCCTCCGTCTTTCGCCTTCGTTCGATATTTCTCGTGTGATTTTCATCTGTTTTCTTGCCGTACATTCAGTCGGATTGTGTTTCCATTGTGAAGTTGATTTCAGAACAAGATGTATATTCATTCTTCTATATGAGATTGTGTGTTTGTCGATGTATCTGTATATTCGCTGCATGTGTGTGTACTTCAGATTCCTAGCTAACTTACTTCAATCTCTTTTTCCTATCTGATTAGATAAGATTATTATGCTATCTTGTGTTTCCAATTGCGTTGTCAGTTTGCTTGTATCACATCCGTGTCCAGACGAAGCGCCGCACTTGCTTTGTGTATAATTCTGAACGCTGTGCGATCGAACGTTTATCCATGGACACCTTTCTAGTCGAGGGTCAATTGCCCTCGTAACCCAGAAAACGTGGTCAATTTTTTTAGGCAAACTCACAGCATGTTATGCTATTTCGACCATAAATTATAGCGCACTGTAATTATAAAGGTGGTCGTCCTTAATTAATAGCTATTTGGTTGTGCCACATCTTATCGACGCTACACGTTCCATTTTGCCCTTTGTTCTCTTACTTACTGCCTACGTTTTTATTTGTGTAGTAGCACTCTATCAGCAATATATATATATATACACATATATATATATATATATATATATATATATATATATATATATATATATAAGATAATTCGACACAGCGCGCAACGGGATCTTATTAAGCTACAACGGGTTTTTTTTTATTGTGGTGTCAAGGCGTCCTGTGTGTACATGGTGTGTATCTTCTTTTTTGTGTTTCTAAGATCATTGTATAACAAAGGAGGATCAAGGGGAACTAGTTAGCATTCCACTAGCCGTCAAATCATTCAAATGAATAAACAATATCGCTTTTAGAAATTACATTTATATAATAGTGCTGTCTTTGAACTGTGTTGTAAACGTTCTTTGTCCGGTACCCATCACCCAGTTCAACCATGAGACCCGATACTAAAATTACCTAAAAGTTTGTTGTTGTTGTTGTTGTTGTTGTTTGTTGATGACAATGATGCTGGTGATGATGGTGTTGATGACCCAATAGGTGTGTAATTTTTATAGTGTGAGATATTTTTCAGTTTGGTGTCTATACAGTGAAGCAGTGCCCATTTGCCCAGAAAAGGTATAGCTATGAATAGGCGTCAAATCAACAGGAACCGCCCCCTAATACGGGCGCCTTTGGTGATTACAAACATCAAACAACTTCGAGAAGCAGTAACAAACCCCGACCACAACGTTATCGCTATTATCAGCAGCAGCCGCGCTATCACCCTCGCTACCATTGCCTGATGGTAGCAGGTGCCACAGCAGCAGTAGCATTGGTAAAGCAGTGTTCGGTAGCGTGGTTCGGCCATCGCATTTAGATAGAAATCATATTTGATGAGTGTACGTGTACAATGGATATGATGATGTTTTGTGTGTATGCGTAAAAGAAAGAAGCATTGAATACAAAATTTCTGTACAAATCCAATGACGCGATAGGTCGAACAGCTCATTGTTCGCTGTATGCCGCGGCTGAAGGAAAGCCAATGAGAACTACTTGAAGTAGCAGCGCGCATGCATGCACGCACGCACGTACGTACGCAAGCCGGATTACTAGATAAAGATTGTCTTTTTTAAACTGTTTAGGCTCGATATATATCATACATTATAAATGTGTTACTTGTTGTAGAGCCTGATGCGTGACAATTGTCTGATAGATTTCATCGGGCGTAATAGGTAGCACGAACAGATCAGTTCCTTTTTCTTCGTTTCCTCGAACCAGGAAACAGACGTCATCTGGATTGAGATGATGCTTCCACCAAGACGTATTATACCGTACTGCACTATGTGCATTTGTTGAAGCTATAGAGCAAACAATACACTTGAATCTTTTGTAAAGCCGATCGGTGCAGGCGAGCATTCTTATCACATCGCGTCATCATTTAATAATAATAATGATAATGCAAAGCAACAAATTAAACAACGGGCTACCCGCAGTGGGCGCAGGAAGAAAAACAAATCCCCGATCACTCGGGTAAAAATCTGTATACAGAATATAATAATACTAGCAACTAATAAGAATAGCAGTGATAATTAATTATAATATTAATGATAATAACAATAGTTATAATATGTATATAATAATATGTAACTGGAGCCTTTTGTCATCTTCGTATCGCGCTCTTTGACGCCCCTCCCCCCCCCTCCCACTCGTCGTAGCTCTTTGTGAACTTGACGCCCCAACTGGTGTTTATTCGGTCGTTCAGGAAGGTACTCACATTTTTTAACTCAGCTTTCAATGTTTACTTCTTTCTTCCTCGCTATGCATTACTCATATATATATATATATATATATATATATATATATATAACTTGTTGTTCTGTAAGAGATAAATCGGTATATTTCTTTCTAGATCAGCAGCATGGTTCCTTTTCAATCTTCTTATCAATATGACGCTTGTATACCACAAATATGTTCATTCCTCTCTATTGTCCTTATTATCAGTTTTTTAATAATCAATATCCGTAGATATCGCAGCGGTAAATCGCATCATCGCAGTAGTGTTTTAGTACGAAAAAGAAAAATATAACTTTCACTTTAACCATGAATATCGCTTTCGCTCTTTCTCTCTCGCTCTCTCTCTCTCTCTCTCTCTCTCTCTCTCGCCAAGCAATATATCATCACCTTATTTTCATACGTATATATTTATGTATATAGTTGTTACTTTATAATTATGTATATATAATATATATCTCCTAGTATATCGTGTCATGTCCAAAGTTGCTTTCTGCACGGGTGTACATCATTACATATATGTATATATTTAATATAATGGTCATGGTGATAAGTATATATTATGGTGAGATAACTCTGTAGCGTCACAGCAGCTTAAATTTGCTTGCGGGTCATTTAGAACCAACGCGAAAGATCGCCTTGACAATGATGTCAACTTGAACTGCGTGACCGGAAAAGCAATTAGTTCGATGTGCCTCTGCTGATGACGCCAAGGAAATGCTCCAGTTCCCTTAAGCAGAGTGATCGCTAGCAGACGAAAACAGAAAGTCTTCAGGCTGCCGAAAGTTTCCGGTTACGTATGATCAGTCTATTCTGTTTTCCGAATGCCGTTTGCCCCTCAAACCAGCCCAAAATAGATTTATTTCTCTTCAACCTAGCATGTCACATATCCTGGAAAGTAGACAGATATACATATTCAAAAAACTCGTTGAATTAGTTTGGATGAATGAATAGTAGTAGTAATAGTGTATCAACGAATTATCACAACGAACACTGGTCCCGGGCCACGGCACCGGTTTCGAGCCTCGCGGCTGGAGCGAGTTGCCTACTTGTTGAAGGTCAGATAGTTAACTAGTGTCGTCGCAATCGATCAACGCCTTCAACCTCAGCCGCGACTCATCGTCAAAGCTGAGTAGCGTGGGCGCTAATATTCAATGACTTCATCGACCCGACCATCATCGGCATTCGGCTTTCCTGGCCGCCAATATCGCGCGCAGTTTCTCGCGGCCTCAGGGACTCTGGCAGTGTTCCCTCGACGACGACGACGACGACGACGACGACGACGACGACGACGGCGGCGACGACGACGACGGCGGCGACGACGACGACGGCGGCGGCGACGACGACGGCGGCGACGACGACGACGACGACGACGACGACGGCGGCGACGACGACGACGACGACGACGACGACGACGGCGGCGACGACTACTACAGATTCGAGCTACAAAAAAATCACTCGGGAACAACTTGTTTCTTCATCTTAATATATCCGCCTTCTCATCCTATACTTCTTAATTCTTTCGGAACGACTGCGTACTATGGAACGACCTCAAAGGCTCCGTGTTGTTGTCACTATTCCAGCTGTTGTTTATCTACAGTTGTCCTATCAAATAGACTGAGGGATGAAGGGGCAGGATCAGAGTCATCATCGATTATGATCGAGATGTTCTTGTCGTGGTTCCAGGTGTGTGGTCGCCAGACTTCGTGAGATGCAGTAGGACGGCCTGTCTGCGTGTCCCTCAAACGGTTTCCCGTCCAAGGAAGGCGTCTAGTATAATAGCAGGTGAGGGGAACTTGGGGACGGATTAACCCACTGGCTTATCTTAGGCTTTCCGTTTCGCATGTAGCATCTCCATGAGCAACGTCTGGGTCGGCGCATTTCCATTCACGTGCTTAAAGAATAGGAACTCCTCACCCCGCATTGACATGCTCTTGATTTCGGGAAGGATCGCCATCAGTTGACCAAATTTATCCTGTTCAAGCCAAACCAGACGTTGTTGTTTAGAAAAACTATGCAGTTCTCAAAAATTAGATAATAACATGATCGAATCATTTGGTTTACTCGAATTTTCATAATAATAATAATTACAACGATAACAAAGTACGTTAGCACGTTTAGTTTTTGCACAATTTATTGTGCAAAAAAAAACAAATCGTACATGCTATTGAATGGGGTTTTTGCTACTCAAATTTACTTCGAAATCAAATTCCGTATTAGCGTATTATATATACTGGTGCACATTGAATAGTGTTATATAAATAGCTAGTATGACATATGTTTATAGAGAAAAAAAACAGATAGACTGCATATACTCACAGTGACGCTGGGATAATTGCTCGTGCAATAGTCGAGAAGCACTTGCTTCGTCTGTTCTTGGGCTTCCGTAACCAACCGTGTGTTCGATAGGCTGCGCACCTCAGCTGAAGAGGGATCTACTCTTGTTAGTCACTTCTGTCATTACGGTTTATTAGCTCTCGGAAAATTTTGATCAGTACGCTTCATTTACACACGTTGGTTCTTCGGCTATCTATCTTCTTCGAAATTAACTTTGAATAAATGCAGTAACTAATTGACGAAGAGCAGGTATCGGCGGTATTAAAATGCAGCAAATAAGTGTACTAATTTACATGAACCTTGCTGGGTTCAAACAAAGGGCCAATGGGTTTAAGTCCAATATCGAAAGCTGCATGACATGTGTGTGTGTCGTCTGACCTATCTTACCGGTAAAATGAATTTAGCTTTTGTTTACCGATTATAGGTCTCGCTAGAAAGGGCACAGGAAGACGGTAAGTCTGCATAATGATATCGCTAACAATAAGAAACAAACCCAACTAACCTGGATTAAGTAGCATGAGGAATTTAAGACAGGCGAAATCGATCTGATCAAATCGTAGGTCAAGCAACTTATGGGTCACAGTGTTCAACTGATCTGCCATAGCTGGAACTCCGAGGAGACATAATGAGACAAGGTCGAACTTCTGTCCATTAGGTAGTACAGCTTCGTCAGGTAACGAATGGTGCATGCGCTGATGCAGATGATCAAGGATTAACATATCCGACCAGGACTGTTGCAATAGCTTCATTTGATCATCCACCTGTAATACAAACAGAATAGGTAAACGGGTCCAATTATAGTTAAATCGTCGTAGTTATTCGTACCACGGAAGTATGGAGAACCATTCTATTATAAATAAAGTAAGAAAGAAATTGTCGATTATATATATCGTTTTCTATACGTTCGATATATACGTGTATTATGACTCATTCGGTACGCTCGGGTCCTCGTGGTAACGATAATTAATCAAATCTACTGGAATAACTTGTAGTCCGTTGGGTTGCCGGTTTGAGCTTATGCTCAGAACCCGGGCGTTCGTCGTAGATGCGTTGACGTAGCATAACGACATACGGAAAAAAAGATGTTTTCGCCTTATTCTCAGTATCGTTAATAAAGCAGAACCTCAACCCAATGTGTTGGCGCGTTACAAGTTCTCTGATCCGACGACCTGAACTTAAACTCCAGTCCGGTGCTTACGTGTTGCACTAGCAGAGAAAGTATTAATCCGTCTAACAGCTAGCTGAAGCATGAAGTCATAGGATTTTGCGGAACAAATGCGTCTGAATGAAGAGCGTTTCACCTTAAATGATACATTTATTTGAGTAAGCGCCGGTCGTGGGCGTTCAGAAATGTAAACTGTACTTTTTACGAGCAAATCAATTGCAGACACAATGCAAAATACCTATACCATATTACAATTAAACGTTAGCTAGATCGGTTCTAAACACACGGCGTCTAGCAAACAAAAATCTGTGTATGTACGCAATGGAGAAATACAAACGAAACGCCATCGTTATCACTACAATCCCCACCACAATCAGTAGAATCGATGTCGTGCGTCGCCGTTTACCGTTAATAGCTGTTAGCAGCTATCTAGCACACGGCCATCTCGTCTGCTTTTGGCGCTCCAATTGAACTCTTACAGAAATAACAGATATATAGCAGCATTAATAGTCGCGACCAGGAGAAAGCATCAACGCAGACTAACGAACCCTATTTTTTTGTCCCATAAACCGCTGACGATGCTGTTAATAAGCTTCCGCGCATAATCATTGTCAGCAGCAGCAGCGTAATTGTGATCACTATCATCACCAATAGCGACAGTAGAAAACATCATTTGTTGAAATCGCATGTTTGATCTGTTCATGCTTCGCAAGTCGTTTCTTGCACTTTGTTCCTCCATGTCTTAACACGGCCACAATCGCAGACAAGACGATGTCAAGCATTAACCTGTTTCTCCGCAAACTTTATTGTTTATTTACGATGCTAACTTACGCCCTAAAAGGTCACGCCTGTGAACATGACGACCCAGAAGGATAGAAATTACCGTTATCCCTTAGGCCCTACCTAGGGGTCGGCAGCGATAGTAGGTAGTGTTAAGAGCAAATGAAGATTGAAGAGACAAGGACGAAACAAATACACCCTGCATGTTTCTTCTCTTTAACTCAATTCCGAAAAGCACAAACGGCCAAAAGTGATAAACCAAACAAACCTTAGACCCCTTAAGATCAGCAAGAACCATCAAAAAGCCATATCTCTTGCGAAACTTCATAAGGCCTTTCGTTCAAAACAATGATCCTATGTTAAGATGGCATCGTACAAACAGAAGCCTGAAAGTTTTGTGTAGAATCGTGTTGCATTGCCACTACGATGTTCATTAGGTCAAGCGGATTTTTTTCTACGTAACTATAGCAAGGACATGCCGCACACTGAGCGAAGTTCGCCAGGTTTAATCCATTGTTTCGATACAAGGCTACCTTCCCGATTTCACAACAAATATTAATCAACGGTAACATAATTCTGATGATGAACACTCGTTGATTACAAGTTGCCACCACTAATATATATGTTAAAGAATATCATATATTAGATACATGTATCTATATAGTCGAGTAGCGCTAACGCAAAGCTGATTAGGTCGAGCCTTAAATTGTACGCAACTTAGTATACGATCTGAAGTGATTTGTTATCTCGACAGCTTCAGTGATGTAGCATTAATATATTTTTATTCTGTAAATGCACGTCCTGCGTGACTTATTCTTATATATACATATATATAAGTATATATTTTCAAGATCGTTTAGTGTTGCCTCACTAACGTACTTACTCTAATGTTGTTACTTTATCTACATAAATGGTTTTTTAAACAGTAATTTTCGTCGTCGAGTTAGGCCCTCATGGAATTTGTTTGACTCTCGTTGATTGCATAATAGAGGCTTTTAGGCATAGTTTACTTTGTAATGCTATACATTTGCGGGTTTCAATGAATCGTCTGACGAAAAGCCAAAGAGCTACGCGTATAGTAGAAGTTATACCTATTTCTATGTTTAAAAAAGGTATTTGCGTTTCGTTTAGTACATTTCTGTAATCGTAAAGCCAAAATAGCTCCGTTGCATAGAGCTGGCGCATTTGGCTATGCTTTACTAAGGTATTCCAGGGACTGCCAAGAAATATTCGCTACGTATTGCAAATACAATATGGGTGGCCTAGCATTACCTGACATTCTGCGGCACACAAAACCTTCCAGTAAACTATCAAAGCATCAGTGGGCAACATAGTTACTTCTGAGAGCACCCAACAATTGCAAACAGAAAACTAACTTCGTGCCAACGGAATTGTCTGCATTCACTGTCCCGTTTCAGCTGGAGGAATAAATCTCAAGGAGGCCCTACGGCCCGAGGTCGTATGCCTATTGAAAAGGTGCTATAGAGGCAAGCGACCAACTCCCACAACCAGAGCAGTAAAAGTAGAGTCCTTTTCGCAAAGGGGCCTATCCATGTGGTAAAACTCATTGTGGGATATCTCTCCAGCAGGGAAAAAGCGGCACACTGTATGTTTTTCGCCTTTGCCTGCGCTCCTAAATAGCCGCCATGCTGACGATGATGTTGCGCATTTTTGCCTCGAGCGCCGTGGGAACTATGAAATCGTATAACAAACCGCTAGCAAACTTTGCTTAGCGCCCGCATGCTCCTGTCTAAGTTCATAGGGATTTAATTATTCGTTATAGAGATTAAGGCATTTCAAAATGTGTCAATAAAATAAAACAACGTGTAACTCTCGACAGGAATATCACGGATTCATGTGGTATCATAGGACCTACACGAACTTATATTTATAGACCTAACCTTAAGTCAGCATATCATCAGTAGCGAATTTGTGTGTGCAAACGATTGTCAGTATGCATCCCCATTTTTCTAAAATCCCCCAGCAAAGAATAACGCTGTTTTGAAGGGCAATCACTTGAAAACCCTGGAATCTGAAGTCAGTGGACTTGTTCAAAAAGACTTCCATACGGATCACTAACTTCTGCCATTGAAGAACTAGTTAGCGTCGTTGTGAACGTTATAGAAATAACGTATTTGCCCGCTAGCCGCGTATTATGCGTTCTCTACTGGCGCTTATTATAAAGCATGACAGAACATCATTAGTGCGAAAAACTCCATCGCCCCTGACCTGGCTGAGTGGTTTATGTAAGACCCTCCCCCACTTAACGATATTCACTGCCGCTCAGGCTTTAAATCTACTCGGTTCCATCAGATCAGAAGCAAAGAAAGCTAAAATGGACCCTGTGTCACCACATAAGGCACTGACATCGCGCAGGGCCTGACAAATTTCAGTCATTGTTGTCATTTCTCTACGTCGACGGTGGCAGTAGCAGAAGCAGCCCCAGCAACAGCTGCTGCCAGACCATCAACCGTCGTCATCATCAACTGCTACCGTTACCTGTCTGCGCATCTTGTCTGCGTGCGCCCTCTGATCGCCATCCCCTTGCTCGCAACAGCATTCTTGGCCCTCCTTTGTGATCGCTCTGTGCGTTTGTTGTAGTCCGAAGAATCAACAGCAACGCAGAAAGAGTAGTATGGGGAGAAACTCAGCATTGTGGCAGCTACCGTGGTAACAGCTTCGTCAATCGTGGCATGCGTTGCGAGGGTTGTTAGCTAGAGTGACCCCATACAGCCGACGGACCACCATAATCTAGCACCATCCAGTCAGTCAGTCAGTAAGAAATAAATTCATCCATAGACGGGCCGGCGCTACTTCTGCCGCCTCCACCGCCATCGTCGTCGTTTCAACGTTCGCTTCAACTGTTCCAGTCGCCCCTGTTCTTCTTCGGTGGCTTTGGTTTTCGTAGCGTTGCTGTCGTCTTTAGCATCTTTGTCATCATCATCATCATTATCGTCGTCGTCGTCGTCGTCGTCGTCGACGTGGCAACGCCTGCCCGTATAGCCCTCAGGACTTCACTGTAGTAATAGGGTCGGCAGCGTTGCATTGGCTAATGCGGCTTGCCAGTCATCTCGACGCAACAAGCAACAGAGGGTTCGTCTTTAAAACCGAATTGTGGCGGGAGCCCCGTTCATATGTGCTCATAACTGTGTCAAGGCAGCTCCGCTAGCCAGGTATTGCCCATTACGCCACGTCATTAGACACACACAGACAAAAACACACATACACGCATGCGATATTATTGCCAACCAGCAATTCTACACACGCTATAAGCAGAACGACAGCGAAAAGCGCCACCTTGCGGTTGGTGCAGGATGTGTTGCCAAGATAGGCTTAACAGCAGCAATAACAACAATAACCATGTAACAGACAGGCATGCCACAAGAGCTGTTGTCGGTACATTTACTACGGCACAAGGACTCATTCTAAACTAGAGAGGCAAACTGCCGACAGCCTTACAACAATGCCATGCGCAACAGCGCCACCTTTGCCAGTATGAAGTGCAACAAGCAAAACAGGCTTACGCGGCTACAAGAAACGGCACGAAAAGGCGTGACGTTTCAAATTGACAAAATGGGAAGTTTTTATCAATAAAATACGCGCCCCTGAGTTCGATATGAAAATCGTAGATTGGAAAGTAGCATGCAATTTCTGTCCTCCTGCCGAGGGCATTTCTTGAGTCAGAAAAAATGGCGCCTCTTAGAGAAGCAGCGATCGTTTCGTCAGATTAGAGAGAACAGAGAAGAACCGTTGCCTCTGCGATACGTCGCCTGTTGTCGTCGGTACCACCGTTGCTAAGACAGTTTCAGAGTCAGCAGCCAGGAGGGAGATTGCCAGCCAGCCAGCCAGGCCGGTGCTGGCTATCTGTCTGAGCGGCTTCAACAACGAATACAAACAGGCCGCATATACTCTGCATTACAGGCACGAGCAATAGACGCTAACACAACGACCCGCTAGCTGTTGTATGATGCTCTGCTGTGTGCAGTAAGCGAACTTGTACACGGTGAATAGTGCGAAGCAGGGATGTGATAACTGTGGCATCTCCGGTGGTGAATTTCTGGAATCCCCACGGATGCCCTCGTGGCATTCTGGTCTGCCATGTGAGTCGAGCAGTCGATAGGTAGAAAGTAGCAGTGAGTGTTGGCAGCTCTAGCAGCAGCTCTAGTGCGACCACGAGAATCCATTTAACCACTGAAGAGTCATCCGATTTAGCGACAAACACGCGACGGTGTCTAGTGGCTTAAAATGGACGCCACAAGTCAGCATAGACCAACCAACCAACAGGTTCAGCAATTAGGCAACAGCGTCAGATATGGTCGTGGCAATAGCAACAACAGCTTTTCCTGTCATCGCACTATCAATTGCCCTCGACTACCTGAACACACTTCATAGAAAACGCAGTCCTTCTTAATTATTAAACACTGTCTTGATACAAAAGATACAGCAGTTTTCAATAAACATCAATATTATAACAAATGTATATTTTTCGCCATCTCGCTAACTTATCAAGTTGAATAATCTCTTGCTCTAAAAGCTGGATCCAGAGAGTGTTTCGAATTTCTAGCAACGGATTTCTGCGACGATACATCTTGAATGATACACGATTCAACTAATAGCAACCCGACATCCCCATAGAAATATGTACGATATAACGTTTATCAAGATACTATGAAAGTATCATTCCCTAAATTGACATTTCTTCGCCGAGAGGCAAAAGCCTGGAGCTTACCCTGAGTTCCTTAAAGAAGATTGTCGAGCGTGCCCAATCGACCTGAGCGAACAGTGCCTGATCAATAACCTTGCACATGAGCTCGAAGAGGTCTACTTCGCATTGGTTGTATGTTTGCGATTGTAGTAGCTGGAATAGTTGGGACTGCCACTCCTTGTCGTCTGTCATATTCTTTTGGAGCTCTCGAACGAGGTGCGGTATTTTCGATTGAGGTGACGGCGCTTGTGAGGTTAGCACCAGTGGCAGAGGCGATTGGGATGAAGATAAGCCACTTTCGAAATTCTGGAACGGAACGAGGTTTTGTTTCGCACCGCCTCCGCCCCCTGATCCACCACCCGTGCCTGCAACCTGCGGGACCCAGCTCACGTTGTTGTTATTATTGTTACTAGGCGCTGATGTTTTCGGCGTCTCGAAGTGTCCCTGCGGGTTTAGAGGAGTTACCTAAAACACACTGGCGAATTAGTATCGTCATTTTGTCACTTATGTTGGACGGAGGAGAGAGCGAAGGTTTCTTATGATACTACAGGGAGCACAGTAGCCAATAAAATGTTACCTTTGTGGTGAATGGATGGCGGAGTGAGATGTCAAGCAGCGAGGAGATACTCGAATCCGTCGTCTAGAATAGGTGGGTTGATTGATTGGGGGGTGATTGATTGAACTTCACTGTATTACTTAGAACTTTACCGAAAGTCACCTCTTTTACGATTAGGATAGGGTTATTAATCCGAAATGCATATATATATATATATATATATATATATATATATATATATATAAGCAGAAGGAGGTTTTGGATTAATTGTAGATATCAGAAGAAGGCTCAGTCACCATATAGATGCAGCAGTATATAGATGAAGGTACGTCTGTCTTTTTATGATTGAATATTCTAAAATTCAGTCTACTGTCTTGAGTATCATCATGTAGCCTTTCTATGTTTTTCGTATATATTCCAGGCAAGTTGATTCTCTACATAATTGACTCTTTTGGCTGCAAATTGCTTTTCTTAGTTGTTTGAATATACCCCTTTAGATATTTTACAGTCGGTTATCGGGAGTATGTCATCGCTTTTGTGAAACAAATACTTTTCTATACAATTTAACAGGCGAGTTTATATAATTTCGCCGTTATACGGGGGTGCTTACAATTTTGAGTTAGTAATGACTTGTCTACGTTAGAAACTACAAAGGTGTCGTTAATACGTACGGTAGTATTGGTGAGGCCGGATAAACTCGTGGTTGTCGTCGTCGTTTGCAGGGGAGAAGGCGAAGAATCTGGTGAAGAGGTGGAAGAGCTCAGCTGAGGTATCTGAATCTCTTGTTTAACACCACCCGTTCCACCACCGTTCGTATCATACATACCTGGCGATGAAACCTGAAACAAAGATTCGAGAAATTAGCTATCGATACATTATCTAAGAAGCTCGCCATTATCATCCAACATAAGTAAAATATAGGCAAGCTAAACGCGTCGAAATAACGCAGTGTACAATGCAAAAGGCCAATACCAATTTGAATAACCGGGGAACAACTGTGAGGGTTACTTAATACAGCAGTGTTTCGAACTGGGGTTCTTCGACTAGTTAATAATGCCATTCCCAATATCATTGTCCATTCCTGTAGGATCAAATGAATTGGTTTAAAGAGTATATGCTTGAAATCCTAGCAACAGCAGCAGATGAATACATTTAAGGAAGTGGATGTCAACATAGATGTGCGTGTTCTCAGTCGGACACGTTATGGTCTAGGTTCGAACCGAGAAGCCAGCCATCTCATAAAATGCCTTATAGGCTAAAGTGGACGCACAACTCGAAATACAGGGATGGCGTGCTCTCTTCTGAGCCAGCTGACTGGCAAGAGGGTTGAGTCTATGGAGCCACAATAACTTAACCTGAAGTGGATTATGAGAAAAAGAATCGGGCTAGCGATCGATTTCCTGGCTTAAAAAAAGCCGCCTCTAGTAGCCGAATAATACAGTCCTTCTGTTCTACGCATAAAGCAGTCGTTTCTTAGCCAATACGATAGTATATGAGTTTTGTTGATGTTGAGTAAGACGTTTTACTTACGTTTATGGTAAGTTCAATTAAATCTCAAGCCACAAAAAATGGATCCGGCGTAGCTAACTACTAGTGGAAAAAAAATCGATTGAATTCTACTAATCCCAGTCTTCGGCAACATTGATGTACTGCTATGTAAAGTAGAGACCGATAGTAGCCGTTTACTGCGCTACGGCCTCTATAACGTAAACGCCGCAGCGTTCATTGGCAAGACCCATACTGCTAATCTTGACCTTCCCCTTAAACTGGCCTCTTAATCGCGCTTCACGCAGCTGATAACCGAGAGCAGGACGCGTCATGAAAGCTCAGATCACTTCGCTCCGAGCGCAGTACCGCCGAGGTAGACTCGAACGCGACGTCGTAGTCAGCCGCTCGTGCGCCTATCACCGCTGTTCTGACTACCCTTGACCCAGCTAGGTTCTGCTATGTCAGTCTACCTAATAGAATATGCAGACAGGAGGGCAGAGCCTTTTTCGAGCTTCCGGCAATGGTGTTATTGGCGAGACGATTGGCTCATCGCAGGAGACAAGTGTGTTTTCGCTGGTTTTGAGCGTCAACCACTACTTGTACCTACGTTTAGTAAATAGATGTGTCAGCATGTTACTATCACGGAGACGAAAAAGGCATCGTATCCACTCACTATAACACGCGGCAAAGCTCATTTTGACAAAAACCAAAGTAAATCCTAAGAGAAAGTCTGCAATATGCTACGCGCTCGAAATTGCTAATGCAGCATGTACGAGTACAGGTACAAACCTCTTTGTTAGCCTAAAGCAGATCCGTCATTTCGTCTGTTTGTCAACACTATGTACTTAATCTTGGAAGAAAACTCACTGTCGTTGCCTAATAACCGTATCGCATGCTACTCTAAAGCTAATAATATATTATTATTATTATATGTGTACCTCACGAGAAAGACAGATAAAATAATAGTTGGCCATAGGCTCAACTAAGTTAAATGTATATCCTAGATTTAATTTAATTTAGCTATACAATAATCGTCCTACAAATAACGCTGGACCCCATATTCGCCTGGCTGTCCTTTGCATGCATCTAGGCGTCACGTGTTATCATAGGGCACGTAAACCGCCGCTACGCTGAACATATGATTCATTGAGCCGTGTGCTACCATGTGAATGAACGAGACGGACCGAACGTTCTCCATTATGATCATGGTTAGAAAAAAAATCTGAAAGAAGCAACCATCGGCTGATGACTCTTTACCCGTTCGTTGTCTGTTATTTGAGTTTCCGTCGCAGCTTGTCCTTGACGCGTCAGTTTTCAACACGTTTTTTTTGTTTAGTCTATATACATCCTAATATCATACATGTATTTGTTTGTCGCTGGTGTGGACCACTTGTGAACTATTAGAAAAAGATGTGAGATACATTTTTACCTTCACTTTTACTACCTCATGCCTTCTGACCACACAGCTTCATTGTGTTATACTCAGTTGAACTGACGAAGATGTTGTTAAAAATATTTGTTACTGTTAGTGAAATATAACTTTGTTTTTGTTAGAAAAATAATTTTGGCTAGCGTTTAATTGGTACATGAGCAATGTCATTTTTCGCGCATATTAAAAAAAAAAACGCGGTGCTTCACTGGAATTGTTCAAACAGACTAATTTAGTATTTATTCGCTGTCACTCTTCACAGCCTTTCCTATCTTTCAATAACCTGTTTATTTCAGTTCTTCGTAGTCTTTTCTTCATTAAATGTACTGTTAGGACATTCATTGGCTCTCAATGATTGGAAAGGTCTAGAGAATAGGAAAGGTGGGTGCAAAAAATATCAAAGTCAAGCTTGCAGGCTAGAATTAACGCCCTTTACCGCGTGCGGCCTGGCATTGGCGTAGGAAAATATGACTCGGTCCCGCCTATCGGACTTTATTAGGTAGCCTTGTTTATCTGATCCATCTAAGCTAATATGGTTGCTCGTTGACTGCCGGGTTATATTAAACCATTTCTTAGTATATAAAACTACTCTAGTCTCACCAACCGCCAATCATAGTCTTTTTGGGCTAAAGTCTAGATCTAAGCGCTCGAAGCGACCAGTTTTTAGTGCTTTTTATCAACATGGCAACATTACTTCTCATCACTTATAACAATTCTGTGTAAAAAGCTGTCATTGTGGCCGCGTGATACTCAATGTTGCGCTGAATGTTAAGGGTCAACGAAAAGCCGTGTTTCCTTGCGCGTCTCACCCAGTCTATGGCGCACACTGGCTCCTAATTTCTGATAAAACTGCATACATTTAAAACGAACCAGACCTTTTTGCAGTTCACCTTCTGAGGTAATAACGCAGTGTTTGACATCTAAGGCCCTCAGAGGCATTTGATGGCCGACCCAAATGGAGTACATTCATCAGGCCTAAAATGGCATCATTAAACTTAGCAATACCCCTTCAAGCAGTCTTTTCAGTTACAGAGTAATCACGTACACGATACACACATTTCGTGTTGCCTACGCAGAGTAAAATAGACCTTTTACATAGCAGTTCCCATATTTGTAGTCTGGTTTCTAAGTAAAATTCTGTTTGCTACACAATAAAAATATGCTTGACTAATAGAAATACTAAAAAAAGACCAGTCGAACAAAGAACTTAATAGTCAGTGGAGGGATATTAACCTAACATAATCACACGCGTATACAGTTACATAATAGACATCGGGATATAGCGCCTACCGTATGGTATGGAAACGCAGCGGATCATGACAGAGAAGGGACCCTTTGAAAATGTTCAAAAATGCCTATATCGACCTCTTTTGTACGTTTATTTGTGCGTATGTTAAGCTAATTAACTTACCGAAGCAGTGGGAATGGGGTATGGGTTGGTGGCGATAGAGACCAGTGTGCTGGGGGACATGGAGTCAGCGCATTGTAACGCCAGCTGTTTCTGGCGTAACATCTGCAGCTTTCTCGCACGATCCCGCTTGTACATTGGACCGAATTTGTTTCGTCCGCCGCGCATCCGATCCGCTCGCACCGCTAGAATGATAAAGAAGAAACCAACCTTTATATAATAATGTCATCATTTTACTATAGAAGCATATCAGAGGCACAGATCATCCAGCCTACCCGTCGAGTATTCTTGTGCCAAATTGCATATACAATCAGTAACTACTCGTATATCGTCGAGTTAGCAGAAAATCCTTTATGTTGTTTTAAATACTCGTAGGTATTATAAAATTAGATGCAAACCACTGTCGTATTGTTCCATTGGCTAGCAACTAGCGCCAGCTTCCTCTTCATGAAGTCAGTTTGAATAAGCGTGTATTGCCGATGAAGGCTGGTTACAAAAGTCTACCTTTAGTTAGCGTTTGCACTGCTGGGACAGCGCAATTGAGCCGTACACTAGGTTATTATTTACCTAAGAGAGATAGAGAAACAAAGAGAAAGAGTAATAGATGTAAAGTCTAGAAGAGCTGACCAGAACCAAGAAGGCCAACTTTCTTCAGTAGTTGCTAGCACAAGGAGATCCGATGCTCAGTAGGTGCTTTTTTTCAAATGACTGCGGAGCTTTACATGAAGTATTAGTTAGGTAATAACTGGTTCGCGCCCTGTTATAAACGGTGCATGCTAGAAGAAAAACAGTTCAACAGATAGTGCTAGATAGCTTTAACTAAGTTGAATACGAGCGAACGAGGTTGTATCTCGTGGTTCCATTGAGGAGTTCTGATAGGGAGCAATACATGGAAGACGATACCTCTGTCATCTGTAATCGGCGTGCGCGTATGTATATCTCATCAAATGCATGTTGTTATTAGTGCAGCTACAGTGAAATAACAGTCATCCATTGCGCTCTTTGCGACAGGGCGACTTGACGGCCCAGGCAAAGCCGATTGAAAGTACGAATATCTTCACGGTCTGTTCGATGCACAAGTTTTCGATGAAAAATTACGAGTCAACCAACGTCCGACACCTACTCTCTTTCCGGCTCAGTCGTGATTCCCCTCTTGCCCTCCGCTTCTGCTGTTAAGGTTAATGCTTTTTTGGAATGCACAAACGAATGGAAGTAACGACCTCCGCGGAACAGTCTTTAATGATTGAGCTCCTTCTACAGGTTGCGCCCTAACGAATGAGCGAACAACATTGGATGCTAAGTTTGTGCTACAGGGTAAACGGAACCAACTGGATGAACTGGTTGCGTCAAGCCCAAAGACCCTTGCCCAGGTTTGCTTCTCGGTCCATATTAAACGTTGCAACATACTTACCAACCACCAGCGCTTCTCACATGTTTGACGATATATTGTGCTCGGTTTTAACGGCTAAGCAATATATCGTAAGGAGCTCCGCTAGACAACAACGGAAAACGGCAGGAAAAGTCTGCGGACAGAATTAACTCCCGTCAAAGTCTCTGAAGCTGCTGCACTTTTTTATTTACCAATGCATCTGTGATCTCTGCCCCTTCATAAGACTGCTATATTAATGCCGGTTTTATTTTTGGGCGAAAAGTTTCTGTTATGAGCTATCTTTCGTAGTCCATGAACGACCAACTTTGCAGTTTAAATTATTCTATTTGAGGGCCCAACATTGTCCGCGAAAAAGCTTAATTTAGATGATCGGAGAAGCTGGCAAAACGGTCATAGAGGGCTGTCTGTTTACACAGAGACGATATGCAAACCGCGAAGTAAAGTTGGACACATTGTGAATTGTTAGGTATCTAATCTGAATTTTTCCATAGTACTTGTTTTCACAGAATACGGCTGATCTGAGCAGACGATTCTACATCAGTTTTGTCTTTTTTTTTTGTTAAAAAGATCAATACCACATATTCATGGCAACCGGGTATATTCAATCGGTTATGCTTGTACGTCATATGTAGAATATGCCTACTAATCGCTGATCTCACCTCAGTCCAACCACTATTTGTTATTCTAAAAATTTATATTTAAGATTAACGATCATCCTGATTATACGCCTAAGCGGTGTATTGTGAAGCCTATCTTCAATATGGTATCGGACATCCAGTAAGGAAATGGATGGAGTCGAAGATGTTGAAGTCCCCTTGAACGATGAGATCGTGTTATTCTGCGTTATTCCCTCACTTGTTTGGTCTAACTCTGAAGAACATTGAGGGAAAGGTTGGAGGATGCTATTAACGACAGCCTCTGATGATATAGGCGACAGTGGCCCATCTCAGTTGAAAAAGTGGGTCACTTGACTCCGACCAGTAGGAAGGAAGGGTGGCCCAGAAGCTAGCTATTGTCGAGGCTTTTATGTTAAATGAATTACAGACGCTTATGCCTCGCAAGCCGTAGAGTGACATCGAACTAAGTAGGCTACCGAACCTCTATGTAGACCCTCGACTCGGGCGTGCCTTGTCAGAAGTTGGTTTTGAGACAAAACAGACACAGTCTGTGGCCGATGGTCATTTGCCTCGACTAACAACAGCAGCGGATTGCGAGTGGGTAAGGCTATGCTCGGGCCTCGACAATGACGAGAGAAACTGGTGGACACTACTAGGAGCTGCATTATAGTCGCTTGGTCAAATTGGACACAAAGGTTTACACCCAGCTGTTCACAGCGGCTGTACAAGTGTGCACCGGCAGACCGTCCATCCGACACCCACATGCACGGTCAGAAGGAAAGACAAATATCGCAATGTATAACAGTCGTATACGGATATTCTAGTGGCACAACTATTCTAACATGCACACATAGAATACTAGGTTGCTCTGGGTATGCAACATTTAATTAGATGGTCAAGAGACCCTGACACGTAGACGAAGATGCAAAAGATATTAATATAGATCGACTGTTTATGTGAAACATTTCATGCAGGTTCCTTGTGGAAATGGCGCATAAAAAAGGAGATAAAACCTAGCGCAATAAACAGTAACTTCTTCAATTTTCAACTTGTCTTAAATACATATATATCTTCTTGGATTTGAAATCTTTATTTATTTACTTATCAACATTTCTTTTTCCCGCATTCATGTCTTAGCACTGTAATATTAGTTAACGCGACATATAGTAGCCTTAACTTTTTCTAGATAATCCCACATAATGCTATTTCCATTGATATGTTTCGATTTTTTTAAATGTATTTATTCGAATTTCTAAAAATAAATAAAATGCTAAAAGCATTGCTGATGTCGTCAGCAAATATGACCTCTATATACCGCTTCCTGTGTGACTCAAATGTTCTTTAGTAAACCGGTATGAGTTCTGGTTGTTTCAGATATCCACACGCCATGGCTTTCTCGAGGATTTTGTTCCCTCACTTAGATTCCTGATCCTTTCTTTTTGGCCAGCCAGAATTGTTCATTGTCAATGTGAAAGGTAATTAGAATTTAAAAAACCCTCGTTTGGGTTTCGTTCTTGACGCCCGCGATGCCGTCTAAGTACATAGATTTTTTCTTTAGCCTGACGCACTAATTATTACTCTTACTAATAGTGAGACTATTGGATTACTATGCTATAAACGTTTTACGATCACGGTATAAGCTGTCGGTAATCGTAAGCTTAGTATATATGATAAGTTCCGCTAAACACTTTTCGAGCGCTCGGTATTGCTTCTGATATCTCCGATGGACGGGATTATCGCAAAGAAAGGATCCCATATGAACAAACGTAAAGCAAAATATGCTCTAGACGTATGGATAGATGCACAGCGTACCGTATCTGTACCTCATCTGTCTGCCGCAGTCGCTAAGGTTGATTTGACCTCTGTGTTCACCCCAATCACTCATGCTTCTTGTATCCATAGTGTAGCCTGTCCCTTAGATAATGTCGTATCCTATCTTTCACCTCGGATCGAAAGGCCATTGTGAGTCAAGGTTGTGATTGCGTCGGTCAACGACGCTTATGAATATCCTCGAAAATAAAATGCCGATCCAGCTGTAGCTTTCAGGGCTCTCCAAATCTATTCACATATATATTTATTGACGATTTGCATGGCGACGCAAGTGTCACTTGAGTAAAAAGTAACGACTGTAAAGCCGTTATTCTCAGCCGAAATCTCGTCCGGTAATGGCAACGGAGCGAGAACAATCATTGGAGACGACGTGTCCTTCATTTTCTCATTGGATAATACAAGTTTACCAGTGAATCCTACAGACGCGGACAGAAGCGCAGCAAGGTTACAGCTATGGTATATATTGTACCATTATGGTTGTTGTTTTGCTAAAGTTATTAATAGATGCCTTGTTGTCACACTTGTTGAGTGTGTAACGTCTCCGGCTGCAAATTTAGGCACCGTAGCGACATATGGCCGATACCGGCCCGCAGGTGGGCAAGTGCTCGATCGCTTAACGAATGAGTCAATACCGGTGTCTAGTGTACGGCTTATTACAAACTTGAAATATTCTTCCTTTGGGGCTAATTATATTTAATATTTTTGAGAAGAAGTTCTACGCATTCTGTCCACAGGATATAGAGGAATAACGTAAGATGTGGCTTTCAAGTATTCCAATTAAATTTGTTTATCTTTTTTTTAGAAAAGTTATAAGTTATCGCTTGTGAACTTACTGATCGAGTTATACTGTCGTTTGGTAGCTCGTTTATGGCGCGTGATGTTGTATCTATCAAGTACTGATTTCGATTTACTATGACAGTGTTATATTGAAAATTTCTTGCCACTGATAGATAATGACATGTATGTTCATATTACTACCCTAGACTAATTCGTTAAAGGTTATAGCAGAACCACCGTTCTGTTTTTTTAAGGTAGATATTTAAATAGTGTTGCAATGTCGATATTTTATTAAATTGGCCAGGTCGACGAATTTATTATCCGGCAAAAGAGCCGCAAAGAGTGGTCATACAAACAAGGCTTGTTTTAACCTCAAGTGTTTGTTTGTCAACTCGGACGATACGAATAGAAGAGGACAGAAGAATGGTAACGGATAGGTGGCAAGCGACGGTCACGTGCCATGTGGCATTGGCAGCACCGTTGTTGTTTGCCTTTTTAGAGATAAGGTACGCGTGTGTGCGCACCACTCGAAAATTACGCATTTATTAGAAAAAGGAAATTTATAAATAAG